TAGACGTTCCGATAGAGTTAGAGTTCATCCCCAGTTTTATGGTTTTCATATTACTACCGAAGGGGACACGTATATTAGTGATGGTACACTAGTAAATCTTGATGAACCTAATAGCTATAAGGAAGCCATGGCAGGCCCGGAGTCTGCGAAATGGAAAGAGGCAATGGATAGCGAGATCCAATCCATGTACGATAACCAAGTTTGGAATTTGGTTGATTATGTGCCCGGACGTAAGACCGTTGGGTGCAAATGGATCTTCAAGAAGAAGACCGACGTGGATGGGAACGTACACACGTATAAAGCGCGATTGGTTGCGAAGGGCTTTACTCAAACTCCAGGAGTTGACTATGATGAGACCTTCTCACCAGTTGCGAAGATTAAATCTATTAGAGTGATGCTAGCAATTGCCGCATTTCATGATTATGAGATTTGGCAAATGGATGTCAAGACCGCCTTCCTTAACGGAAAGTTGGCTGAGGATGTTTACATGGCTCAGCCAGAGGGGTTTGTGAATCCGAAGCATCCAAATAGAGTGTGTAAGCTTGAGAAGTCCATTTATGGACTTAAGCAAGCGTCTCGCAGATGGAATCTTTGCTTCGATGAGAAAGTCAAAGAGTTTGGATTTGTACGAAGCGAAGACGAATCTTGTGTATATGTCAAAGCCAGTGGGAGTAAAGTAAGCTTCCTCGTTCTATATGTCGATGACATATTACTCATAGGAAACGACGTCCCGACTCTGCAGGAAGTCAAGTCCTGGCTCGGGAAGTGTTTCGCTATGAAGGACCTCGGAGAGGCTTCTTACATTTTGGGAATAAGGATAGTAAGAGAAAGAAGTAAGAGACTAATTGGACTTAGTCAGAATACTTACTTAGAGAAGGTACTAAAACGTTTTAGTATGGAAAACTCAAAGAAGGGAGAACTACCGATACAAGGAAATGCCAAGTTGAGTAAGACTCAAATTCCGGGTACTGAAGCTGAAATAGCAGAAATGAGCCAAATACCATATGCTTCCGCAGTTGGCTCAATCATGTACGCTATGACTTGTACTCGCCCTGATGTAGCCTTCGCTTTGAGCATGGTTAGCAGATATCAAGGGAACCCTGGCAAAGCACATTGGATTGCGGTGAAGAACATCCTTAAGTACCTTCGGAGGACGAAAGAATGGTTCTTAGTCCTTGGAGGGAGTGATGACTTGAAGGTGCGAGGGTATAGTGATGCCAGTTTTCAGACCGATAGGGACAACTACCGTTCGCAGTCGGGCTGGGTCTTTACCCTAAACGGAGGAGCAGTAACTTGGAAGAGTTCCAAGCAAGAAACCGTAGCTGATTCAACGTGCGAATCAGAGTACATCGCAGCGAGCGAAGCGTCGAAGGAGGCAATATGGCTAAAGAACTTCATTGGTGATCTTGGAGTTGTGCCTGCCATAAAGGAGCCCATGGAGATTTTCTGTGATAACGAAGGTGCGGTTGCCTTGACCAAGGAACCGAGGGATCATGGTAGATCTCGACATATCGACAGAAAATATCACTTCATTAGACATCGTGTAGAAGAAGGACAACTCATAGTTAAGAGGATATCATCAGAAGATAACCCAGCAGATCCGCTTACGAAGGGACTGAGTAGGGTTAAGCACTTGCAGCATGCTAGGAGTATTGGGCTGAAGGATGATATTAGTATAGATTAGATAGTATTAGAAACGTATAATAGATAAATGTAATTAACATTTGATGATTAAATAAAGGAGTTTTATTTATAAGTAAAGTTACTGTCATATGTTAATTGTTTAACTATTGTTTCACTTTGCATGTTTTGACTTCCAGAATAATTGAGTTTATTAGGAATAATCGAATTATTCAAATTGTCCACAATCGTTCATATGTTGGAAGTAGATATGAATGAAGATTGTCATGAATTGGTGTGTAGATTGTCTAAATGGTGTTAGACATAGCAAGGGTTGCTGCAACGTTCATGAGTGCTTATGAACTGGTTTTGAGCATTGGAACAAACCCGCGCTTGCTGGAATCACTTTATGGAATATGATATAAAAGGTGATCGCAAGACGATAATATCATATAGTCTTAAAACCTAGATATATGGTTTATTATTTGTTAATTGATTGTACATTGATAATGCGAAAACGCATCAGTAACTTGGTGTTATAAAACGCATTGTTGTGTATAGTTGGTTAATGAATAAGTAAATGCATATAAGTCGAAGTTTATCTGTAAATTTTATCCTAAGAGGGTAGAAGAGATATCTTGGCCACTCGATGATTTGATTTGACTTATGTGCCGGGCCCGGTCAGAACTGAATTGATGTGTTTGATTAAGTTCTATGTCGAATAAATCGGAGATCGAGAAATCAAATGCTAGACTAACCATTCCATAGGATTGTCAGCATGATATCTAACAGAGGACTGTACGATCCCTTATCTAAAGGACAAGATTGATTAGATCAGAGTTTGATAGCGTCTTTGAGAGCTACGATTGCAAACCGAATTGTACTTGTATAGTTACTAGACTTATCCAAGTGGGAGACTGTTGGAATAGTGTCTAAGGCTGCAACTATATTAGGCAAGTATTTGATCCGGTTGTGCATGGTCCTTTTGGGTTGCCTTCACCATAGCAACTTGATGGATGATTTGTTAAGAGAGAGTAAATATTATAAGGAATAATATATGGTTATTTGATTAATATAAGTCATAGATTAATTGGAATTAATTTGGTGACTTAAAGAGATTAATTAAATAAGAGGGTATAAACTGTCAATTGTTTGATAGTTACACTTTAGACTATAAATCTTTATCCATGATAGGATGGACGATTTCTAGGGCTTGGATAAGCCAAAATCGTCCATAGGGTTATCAAGGAAAGGATATGGATCAACTTAAAGTCTAAGTTATCCAATTAGGGTTAAAGTTGTAATCCTTAAGGAGTCTACAAGTATAAATAGACCCTAGGGGTGAGGGAATTCGAAACACCATAAAAAAAGTAGAGATACTCTGGCCGAATTCCTCCCCTCTCCTCTCTCCTAAATCATCTTTCTTGCTATTGGTGTTTGTAAGCCATTAGAGGAGTGACATTTGTGACTCTAGAAGCTCCAAGACAACAAGATCAACAAGGAATCCAAAGGTATGATTCTAGATCTATTTCAATGTTGTTATTTAACCTAATTAGCCATTAGAAGTCTTGGATTCAAAGCATGTTTAATTAGAAAGCCTAGATCCGAGCATTAGGGTTTTGCATGCGCACATAGGAAAGTTCTTATGGCTAAAACCCATCAATACTTACAACACTTCCCACAGTATTTGGCCACTTGTGAATGCTACAGAACCCCCAAAGTCTCACAACACTTCCCGCACCAACTGGCTGCTAGTGAATGCTACGGAACCCCTATAATCTTATAACACTTCCCGTACCACCTGACTGCTAGTGAATGCTACGGAACCCCCGTAGTCTTACAACACTTCCCGCACCATCTGGCTGCTAGTGAATGCTACGAAACCGCCGTAGTCTTACAACACTTTCACCTTAACACCAACACAACCTAAACCCTTAACCATAACCTATCAATTCGAATTGCATACAGAGTCGAGCACGCACTCGACTGAACACCCAAACTGAACTCAGTCCATGACCAGAACCCAAACTTGATTCCCCAAATTCTCCTATCAAGCACCAATGAGCCGCGATTCATATGTTGGGTAATTTTACCGAACTCCAACTCGAACAACCCTCAAACCAAACAACCACTCGGAGCCACCATTTTCCTCATTGGGGATGAGAAACTCATCCCAATCTCATACCTGCTCCTGTCCTGAATACCTGCGCGATTCTCCCCCACTTAGATTCGACTAGGTCCACTTGGCTCATGGAAATTAAAGGATTCTCAATCCTTCTTACGCCCCAATGAACAATCTGCTGACGACCGATGCTTACCAAACTAGTTCACCATAAGTAACCTTTCCCAAAACAACTCAACTTCCAAAAACCAGCTAGCATCTCTTAAATACCAACCACATCAATGACTTCATATGCTTACAATGATATCACACACAGATCTCGCTATCCAAAGGATAAATGGTCTAACCAAAACCTCATAAACAATTCTCTCTTCCCTCGGTAATCCTGATTGCTCTTCCAAACACAAATACTCAGGCTACTGAAAACTAGACATAACTCCCTCGTACCAGCCCTTAAACCAACCCCGACTACAATCCAGATGACATCCGAACACTGGGAACCTGCTACTTATAAGGAGACGACCTCGTACTACTCTACCAAAGATTCATGGTATGCAGATGGCATGTAGCCCTAGCTCCCTGAATATAATTAACTCAACCACCAAAAGTGATAACAACCCCATGATATGCTTATGTTATGCTGATGCAAGATTACCGTCACAAATACAGGTAAAGCTGGAAGGAAAAAGGGTATGTACCCCGCACCCTAGCTTGCCGAAGTTCCGATCTCCCCCACTTGGTATTACGAAATGTGGCCCCTCTCTGATCATCAGACAGTTGACCTCCTTTTTGCCCACCTGTTCACAATGAAAATATAACATGCTTGCCTCCCGGGGGCAATCCCTACTGACGTAACCAACCCTGCTACACCTGTAGCAACCCAGACCCCTGAACCAATTTCCGACAAGGACTCGAAACAATAACGGTACACGCGGAATCCGCTCCGCGAGCTACATCCATCTGAAGATTTTTCAAAGATTCCTTGACATGTTGAATGGCACCTGAAAACCCTTGCTAACCCAAAAAATAGCATAGATTACAATTTTTTCCCATTTTTGTATATATTTTTACAGCTTTCCTGTTTTAAATTATTTTTTTGTACAACCTTTTACATCCCTTTTTTTTAACAAATTTTGCCATTTTTTCATCTTTTTTATGTTTTTTAAAACTGGATATTTTTTATAAAAAAAAAATTACATAACCTTTTATATTTTGTTGTGCGTTAATGTGAACACGATTCACATGGATGCATCTAATGGGATTTGTGCGCAAGAGATAGCGATAACAAACATAGATTTCAAACTACAATACATCATATGCTTAGTTGGTATGTTATTCACTAAAAAGAACATGGATTTTTTATATTTTAAGATTCCCAAGCAGCTTTTTATTAAAACATTTTGGTAGTAATATTCGACAGTGTTACACATTTTTAGATTGAAAACACAAGATTACCCGGTGTATGAGGGTGACACCAGATGCAAAAGGTTTATCAAAACTCAAAATGCAGGGCATGTAAAGCATCCACTCAAGGAACGTATATGGCGAGTCTTGATGAGTGAGATAGCTTTGTGTGAAGATCTAGCAACTTTATAAGACTGGTTAGATAACATCGATTCTCTCATTTCTTGAGCCTTTTTCTGAGCTGTTCTTAATTTGTTCATAATCCTATCCATGGATGATGATCTCTTCTTTTCCAATTTCATCTGAACCATATAACCTCAATTCAGAACCAATTCCACTTATATCTATATATATTAAACCAATATGCACAATAAATTTGAAAATGGAACCTCTAGTTTTCGTATTGCTGCTTCTGCTTTTGCCTTGTGTAGATTCTCCCATGCAGTAATTTTGGCTTCCTCCCTCTTAACCCTGGTCAATGAATTCCATTAATTGTTAGGGTTTCTTAAAAATCTGCAAATTTTTTGTACATGTCAAACACAGTGACATACTTTGAGAGGCTTTTTGTCATCTCTGATGCTTCCCAATCTGCTGACCTGGCATCCAGAATGTCTGACCACTTACCTGGAATTCGAGTTTTACTTTTCTTAGACCATCGAGTCAAAGTGACTTTACCATCTACCTGTACATCTCTGATATCTGCTTTGGAAGAGCGAACATGGTGTGAATCTTCTACAGATAGGATAGAATTTGAGATGGAGCTAGAGTTTCTCTTAGATGAATAGGTACTACTTTCAGGGCTCATTTGTGTTGCCATATCTCTCCTTGAGATATCATGAGAAGCATCCATTAAACCACTAGTTTTATCATCTGTATATGGAGATTAACATTTTATCACACACAATAAAGAAAATAGGAAACAGGGAAATGGAGACCATATGTACTGATTTACCTTGAGTAATCTGCAACAATGACTGATTTGACACGTCAGAACAACCATGTACACTGACTGACCTTTCAAGCCCATCTTGGTATTGAATTGAGGAATTGTTGTTGGTATTTACTCTGTTTGGAAGTGGTGAATCGTTGACAAAACTCCTGGAATTTTCTCTTTCAAAACTAGAAATTGCAGGTGAATACATGGAGTAGCAGGTTGACCCTGGAGGTCCAAGTGGTCCACTCTTTGACTTTGGTCGCCTTTGTGGCTGTTGAACAGAAGGCTTTAAAGCGATGGGACTTATTATCCACCTCTCTGCGTCTTCCCATTTTGAAGGAAGTGTCCTTCCATTGTTGTATGGCATCAATGAGAAGCTTGAGTGTATCCGGTTACCTCTTGTATGTGAAGCCACGCGTTCTGAGCTCCAACCATTCTGGAAACCAGTTCTTGCAGGATAATTAGGTGTTCCTGGGCTTGGAAACATGCCATTTCTGTTGGCTGAAATAGAGGTTTTCATCGTCTCTCCTAATCTTGGTGAAGAGCTACTGGTATTCATCGTCTGATTGTTCAGATCCAAAGATGCAGGTCTTCTTCTGTCTGGCTTCCTTTGTAGAATTTCAGTTTTTGACTTCCGGTTTTGGCATTCTAATCAAAGAGTGTGATGTTAATTTCTACAGTGTTATGGCTTAGACTGATTAACTGTTATTGTTGATAATTGCAGATGAAAATCAAAATCCAACTGGTACCTTTTGTAGTGTGAGAGAAGGAGCTTCTTGCTGAATATAGAGACTGGTTTTCTCCATCAGTTTCTGCATCGATGTATTCTTTTATAGCTGCGTATAATTGGAAAAGAAAAGTGACCTATAAGTTTTGAATTTGTTTACAGCGAAAAGCTTTTTAGCCTCGATTTTTCTTTTTATTATTAAGGAATTAGGAAGGTTATATCATATGCATACCTTGTGCTTTTTCCACCCTTTTTCCTATCAGGTAGGGACCTCCATTGTCATGTACTTTGGAATTCTTGTTTGGATCTGGATCTGAACTCCTCGCTGAGGAAGAACCACGGAAGCCTCCTGGCTGTATGCAAAATTAAATTACGTTTTAAACCAAACAGCTTGGAGAAGACGAATTCGTAATTAAATCATGCCTAGGTTTTGCTGATAGCAAATCATTTTCATAAGATACTAAAATTCTTCACTGAACGTCAATCAAATCAAACCAATTCTCGCATGCGCATTTGGATTAAAATACATAAAACTGATAAAGTGCAACTACATAGAAACTTCCAGAGAATTACGAGTTCATAAGATGATACATAAGGAACTTACCAGAGACATATCGGAGACGAACGATTCGTGATCAAGGACATCGGAGGTAGATGAACAACGCTCAATGCTAGCATAAGCGGAAGCCAAAGAAGAGAAGAGACTGAGACTCGACTCGACGGAGTGTATCACAGAGTCAGGACTAACACCTCTACCACCTCTACCGCCACCGCCACCGCCACCGCCGCCGTCGTAGTTTGATCGTAACTGTCTATTATGTTGATCAAGAAACGCGAACTCCGGCATTGTCGAATATCAATTAGTCGTTGCTTCAGTTCTCAATTGTGGTTAATCAGTCTACGAGTATTAAATTATATGTGACTCAGAGAATCTCAATCTCCTATGTGAGATGAGACAGAGATTTATGTCTGTATCATTGAGTTTTTGGATTGCATTATCAAAGAGAGTGATAGTGAAAGAGAAATGGTGACACGAAGATCGGTGGAGAGAGGAACGAGACAATTACGCCCATGGTGATGCTGGTGTTTAAACTAAACAGATTGACAGACAATATCTGATAATTTTTATTTTTATATTGCGTACTTTATATTTTCCAGTTGGGGACCCTTTCTAGTTTGACCCGGAGTTTGACTATAAAGTTTTGATAATAAGAACATTTTGACTGTTTTACTTTTACCACCTATATTTTTAGTATTTGTTGTTATATTTATGTGCCAAATAATTTAAGGACAAATTATAAAAACTTTGTTGATGTGTGTGCCCCTTCTCTGTTAACTTTTTTTTGTTGAGAAAATGATATTTCACAAACATTTAGCTTTAGTTACTATACTTTAACGATGGCCTTTGAAAGCTTTGGCTTCTCCACTTTAATGAACGTTTTGGAAAATACTTTCATAGCAATATAGCATAGAGACCCCCCATCACCCCATAGCTTTAAATACAAGTTTTAATGCACTTGGTACATCAATAAATTAAAGTTTTAAATGTTAGTTAAAAGCAAAACTTTAAAAATTAGAAATATTCTGAGTCGTTGCTAAAATATGAATCATGAGTGATCGAGTGATATATATTTCAGAAAAACTGTGAAAATGGTTTTTGCCGTTTGTATTTTTCTTTGACTTCATTTTTCTTTATTAAAGTCCAAAAATTTTCAACATAATTTGGTTGTGGAATTGATCTCTAAAATATTGTTTGGTGAATGGACAGTACAAGGTTTTCTTACTAGCTTTTGGCATGAATGGAATATTAGATTATTAGTACGTGTTTGATACGGAACTTTTGGAAGCATTTGAATGTATCATAATTTTTCAACAAGTTTTTTAATATATGCCAAGCTGAAATTGATAGTAAGTCGGAATTACCTAGTTGGTAGGGGTAGCACGTGGTACCCCTCATTTAATCAATAGATTTTTTTTAATACATATATGCAATTACTAAAACAATAGAGTTGATTCGTACACAATATTTTTTATCTATACACAACAATTTGTGTTTTAAAATATTGTATTGTACAATTCTAAAAATCATGAATTGTTGTGTACTGAAAAATTTTGTTGTGTACAAATCATTTCTTAAAATAAAGGTCGGTATCAACTTGCTTGATTGTGTATTACATTCAATATATATATATATATATATATATATATATATATATATATATATATATATATATATATATATATATATATATATATATCTTTACTATCTTATAAAAGAAATCTAACTATTTCTAAAAATAGATTGATTATAATAATAATATTTTTTTAAGACGTCCAAATGATGAAGCTGATAGTACAAGTAATCATTAATAAAATAATATTAAATTTTAACCATATTTTGAATTCAAATATTTATCATCAAATCTCCTTATATTTCTCAACAATTTGATATGGTTTCCTCAAATCTCGGATTTATTCAAATTTTGAACCCTTTTAGATATCCTTAAATTTAGCATGTTGATTCAAATATCCCTCCAATCGCATATACCTCTTTGCTCCCTTCTCTACTATAAAGTCCACCGTCCAGGAACAAAAAATGACTTCATTTCCCAAATAACACCATAGTTTGATTATTTTGTCTTCGACGTGTACTTTCTTTTGTAACATAACATTTTTTTAGAGGAAACATATCACTAAAAGAATTTACACGCCCCGCCGCTTTGCGCGGGTGCACTGCTAGTGTGTGTGTGTGTATATATATATATATAAAAAATGAAGCCAATTGGTGACTTAGCCCATTAAATACAAATAATTTTTTTTTACATTTTTATGAGTTACAATTGACGTAGTTTCTTCTTTTCGTGATTTACCCCATCTTCAAGACTACTTTTTTGGCAATTATGATTCTTCTCCAATTTGGCACTTGCTTACCTACGGACTCCTCACCAAAAAAGTATTATTTAATTTTTCATATTAAATGCTTTGTTTTAGTTTATTTATGTTTTTAGTTTAATTTGGTTGTTTAAATTAGAAACCTAATTAGCCAATTCGTTTTTCCATTGTTATGTTGTCGGAGATATTAAGTTTAAATCTTCAATTGTAAATTTTAAATCTTTAACTTTGTCTGTCGTAACCGTAACCGTTGAAAGATGTTTTTCCGCAATGAAGCTCTTGAATTCCGACTTGCATAATAAAATAAGTGATGATTTTATGAATGATGCTTTAATATGCAGTATAGAAAAAAATTACTTATTGATGCTAAAATCAAATGAGTAATTGAGCACTTTAAAAAAAAATGAGTAAATGAATAGGTCAATTTTGAAATGTAAGACTTTTGCAGTACTTTGTTATTTCTAAAGAAATTGTAATTTTAGAATAAATCATCTTATTATATTTTATTGGTATTTTTTTGTGCTACATTTGTAAAAGTTTCTGGTTCCACCACTGATTGGTATGATGGTTTGTTCTAAATGGTAATACTCTTTTATGGTGAAGTATTGTAATTTCGTGACTTTAGAATTGTGAATGTTGGATGAAGATATAGGATTTGCTCTATTTTCGTTCATATATTTTCTCCTTATTTCTTGATAAATCAATTATCTCTTTCCTTGTTTAGTTGATTGTTAGGCTTATTTATTTTCCTCTCTATCTGTTTGTAATCATCACAAAAAAGAAATCAATCTATAGCAATAAGTCATTCTTGAGTTCTATTAACCATCGATTTCTAGATGGTATCAGAGCTTTTTTAAAATCAATCGATTCCAGCATAATGATTGAAAGTGAGGGTAACAAAGGTGGGTCCAGCGCAAGCACGGTCGACTTCTCGTCGCCATATTACCTACATCCTTCAAATTCCCCTAAGCAACCTGCTGTCAATGAGGTTCTTATAGATGGAAACTACAACAATTGGGTGCGAGAGATGACCAATTTTCACTTCGCCAAAAACAAAACAGATTTTGTTGATGGAACCTTGAAGAAACCATAGATTTCATCTTCTAAATACAAACCATGGATGAGGTATGATGCGATGATAAAGGGCTCGCTTACCACAGCCATGAAGAAAGGGATACGTGACAGCGTAAAATATGTTAACACATCATCAAAGATTTAGCCAGATCTGAAGGAAAGATTTGGGAAGGAAAGTGCACCAAGGGCTTATGAATTGAAGCAGAAGATCGTCAATACACGTCAAGAGGGCAGGAACGTTTCGACCTACTACACCCTTCTCAGGTCATTATCGGATGAGTCCTATTCAAATTTTCTTTTCCATGTTGTTTATGTAACAAATGTACGTGTGAACTAGGCAAGAAAATTACTGATCACCTTAAGAAACAACAACTATATGAGTTTCTTATGGGTCTAGACAATGACTTCAATGTTATCAGGACTCATATCTTAGCAACAAAACATGTTCCTACCGTAGGGATTGCCTACCCCGTGGTAGCAAAAGACGAGAGTAAAAGGGCCATATTGCTCGAGAACCGAACTGTACCAGAACATATTGCATTCAAAGCATTCCAGAGACGTGATAACAACTTTAGACCTTCGAAAGAAAATTACATGACTAAACAAGAAAAAGAAAACAAGCAAGATGACTAATGCACTTTTTTGTGGGAGGAACAGTCACAAACGAGAAGGGTGTTTCAAGCTAGTTGGTTATCCCGATTGGTGGCCTGGGAAGAAAGACGACAACACAAAGTCGAAAGTAACATGTGTTGACACTCGAACAAGCTCCATACATGGGCTAAATGAGGAACAATAGCAAGACTTTGTGAAGTATTTTTTCGAGTTTGAGCAATAATGTTGAGCTGAAATCTTAGGCCAACATGACAGGTAATGGGGACGATGTGTGGGTTGTTGACACGGGTTGCATCGAGTACATAATTCACAAACCCAACATTCTTGAAAATAAGAAGGGAATCCCAAATGAGGATCCTGCCGTTATACCAAATGGGGATGCAATCTCTGTTGAGAGAAAATGAGATTTTTTGCTACCAAGGGAGCAAATTTAAAAGGGGTCCTTTATATTCTTAATTTTAAGCATAACCTTCTATCTGTTAGTAAACTATGTAAGGATCTCCAATGTGTTATAACCTTTTCCTCCACTTTTTTTTTCATGCAGGGGCTTCGAACGAGGAGCTTGATTGGATCGGGTAAGTGTCAAGGGGGTTGTATCTCATGGACATGTTCAAGATTAGGACATGCTTCAAGGGATAAACCCTCAAACATCATTTTTTGTTTAAAATAATTCTAGTAAACTTAGTAATGTCTTTTGTGATTCGTTTGCTAAGGCCAAACATGTTCGTAATCCATTTCCAAATAGTTTTATTAAAACAAATGGTTGTTTTGAACTCATTCATTGTGACATTTGGGGATGTTATCAGGTTCCTTCATACACACGTGTAATTTTTTTCTCACCATCGTTGATGATTATAGTAGATAGGTAAGGATCTTCCTAATAAAACACAAAAGCGATGCAAGTCAATGCTTAATGAATTTTCATGAGCTTATTGAGGTTTAATTTGGGAAACATATCAAGAGGGTTAGATGTAACAATGGAGGGGAGTTTACATCCAACTCCATGATTGCTTTTTATGAGAAAAATGGAATCTTGTTAGAGACCACTTGCCCTTACACCCCACAACAAAATGGGGTTGTAGTAAGAAAACACAAACACCTGCTCGAGATATCACGTGCTTTACGCTTCGAGGCAAATATTCCAAAATTTTGAAGAGAATGTATTTTAACTGTTGCGTATATAATAAATCGTCTTCCATCAAAAGGTGATTAAAAACAAGACTCCTTAGAAACTTGTTTGGAATGAAGAACCCGAATATGAACGTTTAA